TAATTGGGATATAAATGCTCAGAAAGGGAAGTGGACGAAACGATCGCTGGCGCACACTGAACCTTGGAATTCTAAGATCGCAAGCTCGGTTCATGTCAGGGGCAAGTTATCTTTTGTCCACTTTTCTATCTTCACATTTACACTACATGTACTACTACTACCATTCTCTCTATTTGGGCACGATTGTATGCTAATCCTTGTCGATATCCATACCTTCAATGCTTCCCTGGACTTTTAGCCAGTGTGCATCGTCTAGTTTGTCTTCGAGAAAAGTGAACCATGATTGCTCCACTTGCCACGTGAGTAGAATGAAGTGCTTTGTGGTTACGATACAAATACGTTGAGGTACTTGTAACCTGTCTCCCAATTAGTTCACACTTTGGGTCGAGCGCTTTCGACGTTGGAGCGATTTCGCATCCAGGAAGTTGGCCGAGGGCCGGCCGTTTGCAGGAAGAAAGTGATAATCGTCGGCAACAAACCGAGGAAGCTTGCGGAAAGGGAAAGTGCCCGTGTACACACTACGCCGCACGATGAGATCGGCGTGTGTTGTACGCACGTCGCGTCTCGCCCCTTTCGATTGTTTGCAGCTGTTACTCGGATCTGCATAGGTTGGGTGGGCTAAATACCGTGTTTACGCGTATCTAACTCGACCTTAATTTCCAATACCAGGAATGGTGTGTTGATTGATTGTTTGATTAATTGATTATTTGATTGATTATATTGGCACAAGTCGTAGCCTGGTAGTCAAGAAACACGGCAATGGATGTTGCCGTATCCATTGAGATCACCTTGATTTATCGGTGCGAGGGGCTGCGTTGACCTACCGGCTTCGCTCCACCAGACTTAGAGCTTCCTCAACATTTTCGTAACACGGTCAGGTTTGTGCACGCAATACAGTTGCTCTCAATTTCTCTTTGTCTTCGCTCTCTCCCCTCTTTGTTATGTTTGTGCTCAAGCCGGAAAAAATTCTGTAGTGTTAAACAGGCTATTACCTCAGCTTATAACGTCCTGGTGGCAAGACGCCGCGTGGGGAGAAAGATAACACCGCAATTACATCAAGACGGCGACTCGCACGATAAGAAAAAAACTGAATTCTGGGATATTACGTGCCATAACAATGTCCTTATAGAGGCAGTATAGGGAGGGACGTCCGATAATTTTATGGTTGTTCAACGTACACCAAGACCTAAAGATACGAAAGTTTTTCATAGGGATTCTTAGGTGGGCTGATAGGTTTACGAAGATTGTGGCGAAACAGCGCACACGATTGGACAACGCTGTGTCCTGTATATCTTTCGTCGCATAGTTATCGCTATTTAGAACAACGACAGTATTCTCCATGCCGCCCCTGTCGAAATGAGGGCACTGCGGTCGTAATCGAACCCGAGACCTCAAGCGCTAGGCCATAGTCATATATAATGATTGATATATGGGGCTTAACGTCCCAAAATCACCGTATGATTATGAGAGACGTCATAGTGGAGGACTCCGGAAACTTCGCCCACCTGAGGTTCTTTAACGTGCTCCCAAATCTGAGCACACGGGCCTACAGTCATAGACATAAAGGTGTGCGCACAAGTGCGGTTGGTTGCCATTCTATGCTCCGTGTCCCATGGCAGAAAGAAATTTAAGGGGGGGGGGGGGGGGGGGCACGGGTATGGTTTTTCAACGGCTGTCCTTCAACGCTTTTGTGGATCCGGGGATAACGTATCGCAGTTTCATCTGTCATTGGATGACGTTGAACACTGCTTTCCCATTTTGGTGTCTGCTTATGCATCGCAAGAGTGGCATAACGCAAAATAATAATAATAATAAAGCGCTCCATGTTTACTTTTACAGCCCATAGTTATGCTGCGTCAGTTAAAGTGAAATGACTCATCTGTTTGAGCAGTGCACATCTATGCAGGTGCCGATGTGGATGCACGTAGAAAGGCGAATTTTGTGTGCTTAGAAAAAGTGTTGAGCGATTTGATTGATTGATATGTGGGGTTTAACGTCCCAAAACCATTATATGATTATGAGATACGCCGTAGTGGAAGGCTCCGGAAATTTAGACCACCTGGGGTTCTTTGACGTGCACCCAAATCTGAGCCCACGGGCCTACAACATTTCCGCCTCCATCGGAAATGCAGCCGCCGCAGCCGGGATTTGAACCTGCGCCCTGCGGGTCAGCAGCCGAGTACCTTAGCCACTAGACCACCGCGGCGGGGCGTGTTGAGCGATTTAAAGTACTTGGTAATATACTATGGGATGAAAATCCACGCATAGTGAATGCCAAATATGGGAATCAAGCCACCCTTTTGTGAATCGCAGATTTCGGTGCCGACATAGTACGCGATAAAGCCTATACACCGTCGAGTGTACAGCAGCATGACCCCCCACTCTGCGCCAGCAACATACGTGTTAGTGCGAGATTCTTTACCGTAACTGATGTTCTCCAGATCGTGGGCTCGTCAGTGATCAGCCGTCTCTGATATGGAAGTCTCATCTTTTGTCCCGGTCACTTCTCGTTTAACGTTGCTACAATGCATTGTTGCATAGATATGACTGTCGGCGTCGTCTGTAGCAAATATAGTGCAGCGCTGCTCCAAATTCCGACATTGAGGAAGGGAACATTTAGGCGGAAGTATCGCGTAATGTGAAAAGAACGAAATAAATAAATAAATAAATAAAAAGTAAAGGACACACAAGGCTTCGCTTAGAGTGATTTTCCCGATACGTCAAGTGCTCCAGAGCTTTTTCTCAACTTCTCTTTCCCCAATGCTGATGTCTCAACCGTTTTGATCGCAACGTTATATTGTTTTAGTTTTTTTCCGTTCTGGTCGCAATCGTCATGCATACGAGTCTTCACACCACTTCGTCATTGTGCACACAGGCTGCGCATGCATACAGCCTTCTATAGTCTTCCGGTCTGCCATCTGCGATGCGGTGTGCGCGCTTTTTCTGTTTGTTTTTTTTTCCTCGTGTGATGAATTGCACGCAGTGACACCAGCACTTTATTATTATTATTATTATTATTATTATTATTATTATTATTATTATTATTATTATTATTATATTATTATTATTATATTATTATTAGTATTAGTATTATTGTTGTTGTTGTTGTTGTTGTTGTTGTTGTTGTCGTCGTCGTCGTCGTCGTCGTTGTGTTGTTGTTGTGTTGTGTGTTGTTGCTGCTGTTGTTGTTTACTTTATCTAGACACAAAGAACTCCACGAGGATGCAGATGAAAGTTTTGCGGTAATTTTGCCGTAAAGTGAATTTCCATCGCATCATCTGTCTTGGTGTGTCCATGCATGTGTCAAAACTCCCAAACAATATGTTCGGAGGGAGTCTACCGGAACGGCTTACGTGCGGTTAATTACGGTATACTGAGAGGAGGAATTCGGCACATGGAAGCAGCGTGAGGCGAGGAGTGCGTAATAACTGGCGGTGTATGCATACCGTCTCGAGCTGTGACTTCCTCGGCACGCTTCGCTGAGCGAGGCCTCTCGAGAGTTCCATACAGAATGCGAGAATATTGCGAATTTGTGCTTTCACAGCCGGAGAAGATGGTGCTGGAGTAAAGAATAACGGAACCATGGTAATAAAGGTTGAATGACACTGTTTTACGTCTTAGCTTTCGCTTGAGCAGTAAAAGCACTGACGGCTGTAACTTCGTAGTCAGCAAAAAGAAAACTAGTAGTGCCTCGCTCGTGCCATCTGAATTCCTGTGGAGAGTTACTAACGAAGGATACTTGTATTATCATGCCATCACTTTCTTGAGTTGAGAGTACCTGATAAAGCAGAGAATAGGAGCATAGTCCATGATTGCAAACTGCTGAGCAATAGAAAGATGAACTTACTCCGCGCATCGTTATCTCTGTTTTGTTTGATGCAGCGTATAGAAAAATTATTAACTTGCCCAATAGCTCAATTTAATTAATAAGAATAAAGACAGCAGGTTCGTACAAAGTTGGATGCAGTGCACCGAGAACTATGACGCATTATTTCGCACAGTGATGCAAGGATCACAGTTAACTCTACTGCAGGCAATATTCAAAGTGGCACTTACTGAACAAAACAGTTTTCTAGCTAACTGACCCGGGCCCTGGACTTGTGTCCAGGGGCGTAGGCATAATGTTTTTTTGTTTGGGGGGGGGGGGGGGGGGGGCACCTTTTTGAAGTAGTCATTTGTTGCACTGTATGCCATGGAGAAAAAAAAAACATGGGGGGGGGGGAGCAGCCATGGGCTTGGTGTGCCGCCCCCTGGCTACACAACTGATTGTGTGCTGTCCAATGTGCTCCCGAATTCCCCACCACCCATTTCTTACCCCTTCACTTATAATAAAGTTTTCTTCTGCTTCTTCTTATTACTTCGCGCCTTGGGCAAAAATACTGTATCTCCGAGCTTTACCTAACGGACTCTTTCGCGAAAACCATTATACAACGTGTATGACACAGACCCTCGTTCTCCCGCCTGCGGTTGCATTCGGGGGCGGAAGGAAGGGGAGCGGGGTCATCGACTCCATTCACGCCAGCAGATGAATAAAACGTGGTGCACTAATAAATTCGTCAAGGTGCCTGTGGGTATACCTTCCCCAAAATGCCTTGTGTCGGCCCCTTACTGTTTCGTCAGCTGGATGTCATCGCCATTCGCCACTGCGTCGGTCTTCGGCAGACATGACTTCAAACTCTGTCGTGCGGGACACTCATTGAGCTGGCGTCATGCAGCTGCGAAGCTCGCAAAGTTTGGAAGAGTTAAAACGGAGAAACAGAAACCACCGTTGGCTATTCCAACAGATGCTCGTTCCACCTCTCTCTCAAGAATCAGAGCTAATGTGAGAAAATGAAGTAATCCTTTTCAACCGCATCGCGCCGATCGTGCAGCGATGTTTCTGCAATGTTCCTTTCCCAACGGCTTCGTTCTCTGTTGACGAGAATGTATAACTACGGGGAAATTCTCAGTAAACTGCGCCGTCTTACTGCTTGGCATCATTGAGACTCGTGTATACTTACCTCATCGGTTCTGACGCCTCGTATCTGCTTCCCGCGAGGCCACAGCTTCAATTCCTGGCTGTGGCAAGTGCTGCTGCGGGAGGCTGAGATGCAGAAACAACCGCGTAATGAACTATGAGGGCGCGTTCATGGAACGCCACAGATGGTCAAGGTTTATAGTCCGCCGTGTCCCTTGGCCAACGGCACCCTCTCCTGCTTGCCCTTGGCGCCGTATTAAGCCGCGCTGAGCACGATTTAGTATCTCGAAAGCATCTAAAGTTGCCTTCCTAACCTTGAGAACGGTATCAAGCGGACACTCGACAATTGTTTCATGTGCCAATAGCGTAGTGTACGTTTCATGCCACTATCACACCCGATCCCTTTAGCGACAAGGAGACGTCTGTGCCAACGCGTCCACTGATATTCATGCAAATAAGGCGATCACTAAATTTTCTAGCCAGAGCTTCCGAAAATATGGGACAAGTATACGCTGAAGAAAACGAAACCAAGGTCATGTCATTAGAGCTGCTCGTTCGAACCAAGACTTTAACAACGGGTGCTATTTGTCACTTTTTTTTTCTTTCGCTCGCTTTTCACCCCACTTTTTTTTTTTACATACGGGGCTTAATTAGTGGTTTCATTTTTTGACTCACGTGAATGAGTTTGCGTACTTTAGACTTGCTATTAAATCTAAGACGAAATTAACTACTCGATAACATACTGTGAGAACAGCACGATCGGAGGCTCACTGACACCACAGAAACTTTTTGTACCGTGTCTGCCGTCCCCCTCTCTTCCTTTCCCTTTCCTTCTGAAGTTATCGCCAAACATAGAACTGATTAAGGAAAGTTTTCGAGCTGGCTGTTTGTGCAGGAAAAAGTCTCCTTCGCCTTTAACTGGCACTAACGGCATCACAGTTGCTTTTCCATGACATCACGCTGAAAGTAAAGCAACGTGATTGTTGTATCAATAGCAAAGTTTTGTGTGTGTGATTCTATCTCCCTGATTCTTTCTGCCAGTAGATTACTTACACACACAAACCTCACTGAAGTAGCGTTCCTTGCGAAAACGTGGATAATGAGAAACATTTGCTGCCTCGAACAAAGCGAACAAAATTAAAAAGTAACGAACGAAATAAAATCTGCTGAGAAAGACAGGTTTTCCTGGACAGAAAGCCGCTCTCGGATCGACGCGTACAGGAACGTGTTCTGTTTGAGTGTTTAAAAAAAAATAGCAAGGTCCTCCAATAAGATTGACAATGCTGCACAGTGAGTAGACTCCCCTGCACCACAACATTCATTTTTTTAACCACGTAAGAGTGCACGTGTAAGAGGCACTCGTTTCAATCACGCAAGAATGCACGGGCATGTGCGCTTATACTTCATTATGTGGCTCACCATGTCGGGTATGATATGTTACTTGCCACCCACCGGTTCATCCTGTTAAGAACAATGTGCGAGACATGCTAACCTCCCTGTCCTTCCTCTTCTTCCACCTGCGAGAATTCCAACAGCTTCGGTTGCGTAAGCACGTCTGCGTGACGCCAATCGCTTGTCGAAGCTGTTGCCCCCTACCACTGGCCGATAGGTTACCGTTGCATTCCAGCACCCGTAAGGACGCGTCACATCATGACGCCTTGAACTTGAGTCGTACACGAAAGCATCTTGCATGTAGTTCCTCGGACTCGATATAATCTGGAGGATCTCTCGGGGGAGGGGGGATCCCGCCTCATGGTTTATTAATAGCGAGCAGCAATGTCATTCAAGCGTTGGCTTGTGCCGCCACAAAAAAACTGTGCGCGTCGTTTCCTTCACTCGTCTCCCTTCCCCACGTCGAGGAGAGAGGAGTCGTCGCACCGTCTTCTCCGCTTCTTCCTCCTCGCATCGTGGACATGGCTTGCTGGTTCCGACGACGCCGTCCCGTCTGTCACTCACCCGCTCGAAGACACTAGAAGCGCGCGTACGGAATTTCGGGAAAGGGCGGGCACCTCGTGGAACGCGAGCCGATCGCTATCTCCGATGGAAAGCGCATCCCTGCGGTGACGAGCCACAGGTTTAGTGTTGTCTGATAACGGTTTCAATCGGTCACTCAGTGTTTTGCCGCCAGGCCGGCTCTGAGCACACTAAAAGACGAGGCAGTTGGGGACAGTCGATCTTCTTGAACGGGCAGTGCGCACGGAGTTAAAAGGCGGGCTGTGCTTTGCGGTGGCAACTACCCTCCTCCACCAACGAGCCCTCGGGAAGAGTACATCTAGAAGGCTATCGTGAGGTTCCCTCCCTCCTTTCTCGGCGGGCGTCCTTCGGAGAGCCGCGCGGAAGTTCGACCCCCTTTCCGAACGAACCGTCGACACCGTATGCTGTCAAGGCGACCTCCCGGCTGAACCGTGTGACGTCATCGCGAGCGAAAGGTTCTTGTCGGGCTACCGTGCCACTCATTCAACAGTCAGCCCTCAGCCGAGCCGAACGGTCAGAGCAGCACTCCTCGTGTGCGCGGTGGAAGTCGTCGTCCGCACGGAGCAAGCGCCCGAGCGAACCCGCTGGGGAAACAGCCGTCACCATAGCGCGAGACGCAGGCATGAGTTCGGACATGTCCAGTCCCCGCCGACCGGGCATGCTGGAGTTCTTCAGCGGCAAGAACGTCCTGCTCACGGGTAGCACAGGATTTCTCGGAAAGGTAGGGGCTCATCCATTGTTTGTCCAGGAACGGTGATGTGATAGCCGGACGCTGCTGCCACGAGTAACCGCGGCGTTCAAACCCCCCTCGTGTCGCTTCGCAACAGCTTGAGCTCCAAGTTTTTTTGTTTTGCTCAAAGATTGTTTCCCGAACCAAGAAAAGAATTCATTCTGTGACGCGTTGTTCTTGGTCCCACTACGGGCATTTTCGAACACGTGCACATGCGCTTATCGTCGACAAAATTCAGGAAACTGCGGTGAGTTGATTGCATCTTGCCTTGACGTTTTAGTTTAGTGCCAGAAGCACAAACATATTCGGAGTGCACTTACATATATTGCCGCAAATGGTGAGATCAAGTAGATATCTAGTACGTTTGAAACAGTTCCTTAAGAAATGTGAAAATTTGCGTCGGCCCTATGGGAGGAAACATATACCTCACGTTCGAAAATGTCAAGATGCTACTCACGATTGAACCCAACTGGTACTACGGCTGTTGTTTGCCACCGATGCAGATAATTTACACACGTAAAGTGTTTTACCCACCCGCAGTTGTGAAGCACGCTGAGATGAACAAACAAAAGTATAGAAGGAAACAGTAGCACGTGACCCTTTCGATTTTGCACATTCGTCATCAAACGAAAATGCTCGACAGTGTAGATTCAGCTGCTTTCATACTCGTTAGCGTTTGTGTAAGTCAAGGTTGAAATAACAACGAGACTTCCATGTGATGACGCTTCTTTGTTCTGTTAATAGCTCGCGAAAGTCTTTCAATAACGTTCGTATGAGCGCCACACTTCCGAGGTTTCACAGAAAATGCTCGTGATGCAGCTGGTATACGAGTCAAACTAATGCGGGACACAAGTGCTCTTACATGTGATGTCTTCAGTGTTTGTTAGGACACCTTTGTTAAACATGCGAACTTTACATTCTATTTTAAGGGAAGAACAACCAATTATGAAAAAAGTTATGGTGGTTCTCTTGAAGAACGTGCGCAGTTTAACGTTCATCAGCAACTTGCAACCTCATGGCTTTGCATTTACTTGCCACAAGTATAGAATACATAGAGTCGATTAAAAAAAGCTTGCGGACTACGTGAGCTCGTAGCCAAAAGCCTCTTTGCAGCAATTCCGTTACGTCAGCGGCGATCTGAAGGACCGCAGCGTCCAATACGCATTCCTCCTGGTCTGTCTTGTTTTTTGACTGGGTAAAGAATACATCTCGGCTTGAACTTTTTAACGCGACACACTTTTTGGCATCTGCGTCTACGTGCTTCTGCTTCGAGAGCAGTTTTATGAGCACGACTGTGCCCCGCCGCGGTGGTCTAGTGGCTAAGGTACTCGGCGGCTGACCCGCAGGGCGCGGGTTCGAATCCCGGCTGCGGCGGCTGCATTTCCGATGGAGGCGGAAATGTTGTAGGCCCGTGTGCTCAGATTTGGGTGCACGTTAAAGAACCCCAGGTGGTCTAAATTTCCGGAGCCCTCCACTACGGCGTCTCTCATAATCATATAGTGGTTTTGGGACGTTAAACCCCACATATCAATCAATTATGAGCACGACTGTTATCTGTCACAATCTTTATCACAAAGTGATACATAGCCAACGGCACGCCGAAATAGCGCTGATACTGCTATGAAAATAGAAATGCGACTCTCGTACGCATGAGCGCTTCGCGTGAAAACTGCGGACAAGCAATGTGCTACGCAGCGGTAGAAAATCGAAATGCCAGCGAATCAGAAGAGTAGTTTCCGCCCTAGCACTGTGGCTGATGGTAGATTGCGCTCCACTAGGTGGCACGGACAGGCAGTTTAGCCCGTGCTCGCGTGGTTCGCAAACTTTTTTGGTCGGCTGTACTGTACATAGACAAGTACCCCAAGGGTAGTACTGTTGTTGGTTTGCAGGAAGGTTATCTGGGGTCATTGCAGCATGCTCCTTAAATTGTCCTTGTTTAGGCCGTGTTAAAGCAAGAAACTCGTTGAACAATGATGCGTCCTATGATTGTTATGAAATATTGAATCAAATGTTCTAATTTGTGCGTATCTTCTCCAGCGGTATCTTGTTGGGCAGATGGGTCGTATGGAATGCAAAATTGTATTTATTAGTTTTTTCTTCTAGCGCTAGCGGTTATGAACACGTCGATATAACGATATTCCCCTTGCGATGACACAGTCAGCAATGCCATGTTTGATCACGTCCTTTCTGTTTTTGAGTGAGCCTGAGTGGGGCCCAGTGCGAAGTTCAGCGAATATCGCGTGGGAACGATTCGAGCACGAGATTGTAGCAGCTACGCGTGGCTGTGGGCTATAGCCATGAGCGATACACACTTAATCTTTTAGCGAAAACGTTTCGAGAGTCTTCCGGCAATGCTATTGCTCATTCAAGTACACATTTCCCAAAAGGAACACTGCTAACTTTCCCTCTACGTCGCAATAGACGACTGCAGCTTAGGCGTACGTATACCAACGATAGAAAAGGCGAAATATTTTATAATAATTACATGCAGCGTGGAAGAAGGCATCATGCAACTACAAGTGATAAATTGCTGCTTATATAGTTTAATGAATGACGTGATTGTAGTTCTCGAGACACGGGTGATTGCAATTTTTATTGGCAGATCGGTACCATGTTTTTTTTTTGTTCAAACAATTCTCTGTAAGCGAAGGGTTAATTTAAATCAATGCAGCTACAACCTGACGTCTTTAGGTGTTTCTTAAAGACGCCTGCTTTGGTGGCATCGGTCTGCATGCATGGCGTTTCCTTTACGCACAATATGCCGGCACAATGGCGTGCAGCTGGTCAATCGTTGTTTATGTGACGGCGTCAGCCCCCGACATACGCCTCCTTCCTCAAATGCACGTGCAGAGCGAAGTGACACGCGCGACAATAATTGTGTCCAGACTGTGCCGCTTACCTTATTCGCAATAAGAACTGAAAAGTAAGAACGAGATAGCGCGAGACACGTTCTAGAGCTTGAACAATGAGTGGACGGCGTTATGGCTATACGTTTGTGACGATAACCATGCAGCTAAATTGAAGTTGTGACGTAACGAGATAATTTCGTATCGCCAAACTAATAACATGTAATAAACCAATAGGGGAGCTGATACTCATCCAATCCTTCGTAAAAGAATAATAACGCTGTGCCTCAGCTGCTGGTTCAGAACACGCATCAGTCAAACCACAACGTATTTGCCGTGCCCACCGCGGTCAACATATTAATGCCACAAGCACGGGTGGAGAGAAAGAGGGGCGACCCCCTAAAATGGAACCCTGCGTACACCTATGAACATATACCAACATCGTATCAACACATTAATGGCCAGTTTACGAGGCCTTACATAACGAAACAACAATATTCAGCGATACTTCTTGGATTTTTACGTCTTCAAACCAGAATATAAAGACGCCGTAGTAGATGGGCAGCCGAAATTTCGGTCACCTGGTGCTCTTTAAAGGACCCCTGACACCAAATTTGTAAACTCGAGATACTGTTATTGTTTGATAGTCCTGCATGCGGGGCCCGCCTCTGACCGCTTATTAGTGGCTAGCGTTGCCTAGACGATATTTTAATTTGGTTTTAAAGTAAGGGTGCGTTCTACTCCGAGTGTTCAGGTGCAGTGGACAATTTTCTGTGGTTTGACGTAAGTAGGGGATCCCTTTGTGACGTTGCAGAGATCAAGAACATTTGCGGGGCGTGCACGATACGTCGACTGGCACCCGGAGAGAACTAGTGTTCGTCACCCCTCTCGATCTGTTTTCGGGCTCCTCTCGAGGTGGTTTAGTCTGCTTACGCCAGGGATGCTTTTCTTCTTCTTTTTTTTTCGATGGGAACATGCTCAGCTCTCCCACATCATTTCATTATTCACCGCCCACGGGTCACCCTATTTGAAAACAGCGTGTTTCAGCGTTACCGAAGCTTGAGCCGTGGCCCTCGAGATAGCAAGCGTGCGGCGAGAAACGCGCCCGCCATCTCGGAGGCCATGCTTTGAAGCACACGTAGTTTCAGGCACTGCTCCGCTGTGGGTCGCTAGTTTCTTATGGTATTTAGGCGGGCGTTTTGAACTGACGCCAAATCGTTCTGAATCAACGCCGCTAGCATTAGTTACACGTTGCGTTAGAGCATTCACGACATAATTTCGGCATTACCAGATGCAAAGCTACAAATTGCTGTAAAAAAAAAAAACTCGCAAAGAAAACTTTCGCACTCAGGGGTCCTTTAAAGTGCGGCTAAATCTAAGCACACTTGCCTCAAGCATTTTCGCCTGCGTCTAAATTGCAGCCGGCGACCTGCGGATCAGCATTCAAGCTCCATAACCGCTGGACCGCAGTGGCTGATAACGGCGATCAGTGGGGCAGACTGCTTCGACAATAAAGTAATGGAAAGTCCCATGCACTTTAGATATACATAATGCATACTGTAGGGACATACCGGTTTTCTCGCTTAGTAGAGGTTCACGGGTCTCACACCGGAAAAACATGAATGGGTTTTTCTAAATGGTGTGTTGAAACTTTATTTTGCCAAAAGCATCCACATTTTTTTTTCATAAGCGTTATGAGCTCGCATAGGTTTATGAACCTGCCATACAGCGTACCGCAGACATCTGCAGCCTGCACGAACATAAGGCCACAGACACAATTCCTGATCTTAAAATAAAAAAATATAATAAAAAAGAGAAAGGAATTTTAGGAACCTAAGTATAACTCAGTGAACGCTGCTGTGTGTACAAAATTAGTCCCAGGTCCATTCACCACTGTAAAGCAAGCGCTCATAGTTCGCACTTAACTTTATGACGTTGGACCCATAATATAAAAGCTATTGACAATCTGTCTCTTAAGGTAACTTTCGTAACGTAAAAACAGGATCTGCGCTACGTGACTACAATAAGCAATAGCTTATTTCGACGCTATCGATCTCGTTTTTGTTGCCCCCGGTACCCCAGTAAGACGAGTCTTTATTCGCCGTATGGCGTCTGTTACCGAATATACGCTTTATTCACAACCAGTGCGTCGTGTTCAGAGAAGTAAGAGAAAAAAAAATAGCGTAATGTTTGTTGTCCGCCAGACACAGACAGACAGAAGCACGGACGGACGGACAGACAGACACAGACGGACGGACACAGACAGACGGACGGACACAGACAGACGGACGGACACAGACAGACGGACGGACACAGACAGACGGACGGACACAGACAGACAGACACACAGACAGACGGACGGACGGGCGGATGGACGGACGGACGCACAGACGGATGGACGGACGGACAGATGGATGGACAGACGGACAGAGAACTTTATTGAGGTCCTGAAGAACAGTATACCTCAAGGAGGTAGAGCAGCGGGCCGCTCCCACGTCAGAACGGGTAGGCCAAGCCTCACCGCCGCGTCGTGGACCCTCTGGACAGCCCAGAGTTGATGTGCAAGTTCTGAGCGCAGAGCTCCATTCCTCTTCGGTCATCTGCCGAAAATCGCGTGATGAGGGGCACTGCCAGAGCATGTGTTCTAACGTGGATACGGCGCCACAATCTGGGTATGTTGGATTAATGCTTTCAATAAACTGGCTGTGGGAACGAAGATTAGGGTACGCCCTGGTTTGAAGCATGTGGAGGGTAGATGCCTGGGCCCTACAAAGTTCTATATGAGGAAGGGGGAAATCTTTATGTCCAGCTGATAATGTCTGGTCACCTCGTTGAAAGTGATGAGAACATCCCCAAAGACTATTACGTTGTAGACTGAAGGTTCCGCAGGCTGCCCAGCATGGTGAGCAAGTTTGCGTGCTCGGTCGTGGGCGATCTCGTTTAGGTTTGCCATGGACGCCAGATGTGATCCGAGGTGAGCCGGAAACCAAATTATGGCGTGTTCAGAAATATCCCTGTTACCTAAGATGCGAGCTACTTCAGCCGATCCAGATGCAAAGGCTCGCACTGCCGCTGGTGAGTCTGTATAGATGTGTTACCGAGAGTCGTCAGGGAGAGCGAGAGCTATGGCTAGCTGTTCAGCTTTAGCGGGAGTGGTGTTCCTGACCCCCCTCTCCCCTCCAAAAAAATATTCACTTTGTGCTCCGCCAGACCACACTTAAATCACTAGCGTACGCGTAATGAACCACACATGTATAGTCCATATTCGTGGATGGGCGGCTAACATCGAGAATGTGCAAGGCACTAAAGTCGGGTTTTCTCGCGAAACAAATCGTAGCGTATGGTCTTTGTGGTTCGCCAGCTTGCGACACCATGCGGTATACAATACTAGATAGACATTTCATCCTTCCCTTTTGCTAGGAGGTACTCTTTTATAGTTTACCATTTCATGTCAATATTTCCACTCATGTGTATATCACATTTGTACATGTTGTGAATGGACATGAAGAACGGCCTCCAAAGATGGCTGCTCAAAAGAAAATTTGAACCGCATCTTTGTTTCTTCATTCTGCATGTCACCTTCATTCTTGCACTCTCGCTGTAAGTACTATTTCATCGTTGAGTAAACGCTAACAAGGACACGTAATGACGTACGAATATTAAATCCACCTCGCTCGCGCGTAGCACGTGCAAATGATCTCTTATAATTGCAAGCTGCGTCCACACCCAAATATGTGAAGCGCGAATGAGGTGAGTTTCTCTTTTTGGCAACTCGGATGACATTGCATGCATATGCATTTTCACTGCCCATCTATCGGGTCTCCCGTTTCAAGAACATTCGAACCGCATCTTTGTTTCTTCATTCTGCATGTCACCTTCATTCTTGCACTCTCGCTGTAAGTACTATTTCATCGTTGAGTAAACGCTAACAAGCACACGTAATGACGCACGAATATTAAATCCACCTCGTTTGCGCGTAGCACGTGCAAATGATCTCTTATAATTGCAAGCTGGGTCCACACCCAAATATGTGAAGCGCGAATGAGGTGATTTTCTATTTTTGGCAACTCGGATGGCATTGCATGCATATGCATTTTCACTGCCCATCTATCGGGTCTCTTGTTTCAAAGAACATTAGCGTGCGCCGACAGTGTGATGACGCAAGTCTTAAAAGTCTGTGGACACGGCTTCTTCATTCGGTTCTGTGTGTCTTTAGAACGTCCTTGGTCGTTGCTTCCTCTCACATTCGATGATTAGCGCCCTTTCCGGCTAATTATACAGCTGCGAGGCTTGTGTTCTCCGCCATGGTCTCGAACTTGCTTACGGGTTTACAAAAGTATATCGATGACTCTAATGGTGATAAAATGTTCAACGGCATCAGGCCCATCGTGTATATTTGAAGCAGTTAGCTGCTACTGTGCGCGAATGCTGACTCCTCGAACACAGCGTGTTTAGAGTTTTGCTTATGCACACGCATTATCAAAACGAATGAATGAATGAATGAATGAATGAATGAATGAATGAATGAATGAATGAATGAATGAATGAATGAATGAATGAGCGACGATGCTGCCTTTTGTACGGTGCTTGAAAAGTACAACAATATACTTGAGCAGGCAACACGAGCCATGGGTTCACGTACCACAGCCAAGCGCCATCTTTTCTTCCCTCGAGGTGGCGCGCTCTCCGGTTATTGTTCGTCACCCAAACGGGGGAGGGGGGGGGCTACAATGACATCATCTGTAGCACTGTAGTGACTCTGAACACGTGGCGTTACCTCACATGAAGTCACGCAAGGATTTGTGATGTCACAATGGCATCACATATTTGGTGATCTGTTATGTTCATGGCGACGTCATTTGCTGGCGTCATCAAGCACTGATTTTTTTTTGCATCACCCTACCCCGACGCCGCCCACGGTCAAATTTCACGCTCGATGACTCATCAAGCGACTTTCGCCTTCAAAATCAATGACTTTCGCCTTCAAAATCATTAGTCTCGTTTATATTCACTGCAGGACAAAGGCTTCCCGCATTGACCTCTGGCTGCCCCTTTTTTGCTTAAACTGATTCCGTTTTATGTCAGCGAACTTCTTGATTTGAGCAAACCGTCTTATTTCCTATCATAATCGGCTGCACTCCCCGTCGACATGGTATCAGCCGTTTTACCATGTGCTTTAGGAGACATTGCTTGACTGTCATTCACTGTCTTTATTTACCTTGCTGTCAAATAGATTATCGGTTACCACCTGCTCCTCCTCCTATTCACTTCTGGCGCATTTTTTCATTGGCGCGCCTATTTTTTTTTTTTTTTGGAGGGGGGGGGCTGCTTTTCGGCACCCATTCGTGCGCTCAGCGTCGTCGTGACCGCCACTATAGAGCACACCGTCGTGTGGTCTCTAATGACGTAATTGCTAATGTATGCGGCGAGGACGTCCACCGATACCATATACGGAAATGAAACGCTGCACGATCAGAGGCGTATACCTGCGGCGGCTGTTGTGGAACGCGGCCACGCGCTGCCTTCCGCCGTCTCCCGGTTATAGTCGCGCCTCAGCTTTTCGCAAAATCAAAACACCTCAACAACTGCGCTCACAAATAGCATTAGGCAGTATTGTATTCGTCAGTGACTTTTTTTTTCGTTTGCTGCAGAAGAATCATGCGACGATACACTGATGCGTTCTTATTGTTATACAGTGGAATCTGACGAATTCTCGGTCATTTGAGCTTCGAGCATCGCCTCTCAGCAAACCATAAATTCTTCTCGTTAAAGCCAGCATGTTATTCGCTTGGTATTGGGAAGGCGAGCAAGCGAATATTTCAGAAAAACTATACTCCTGTGCACCTGACCGTAGATACATGAAGGCTATAGCTTGTCTATATTCGGCACATTCGCGTGCCTTCGTCGGCAACTGCGCGCGTAAATCATCCGTCGTTTAAGCACGTAGTGTGAGCTGAATAACTCGTAGCGACGTTAAAGCGTGTACGGGCCTCACACGAGAAGCAGTTGCAGTGAACACGTGCTACACGATTTCCGCCATTTTCAAACAACTTGCTGGCAGAGTGGTCCCGTTCAGGAGACCACAAGTCTCGACATATATGGTCACAATGCAAATAAAGTAAGTGAGTGCCAGGGTGGAAGAGCGTGCAGAGCAAACTCAGTCGATGACGTGTGAAAAACAACGCTTTTCCTGTGAATACCTTCTACTGCACCACCGTGACATGCGTTGCAGCATCGAGAAGTACGTTTTCAATGAGTTGTTGGTCTCTTTCCTGATGGCTGAGGTTCGGTTGTGGTCTTTCTTGCTTTGCTTCCGCGTTGCCGATGAAGTTATTACAGTTGTCACTCACTCTAGACACTCATACTTCACCTAAATATTATCACTTTGACTGAGTACGATTGTATGGGTGTTGGTTTTAAGAACGAAGGAGCCAACATTAACTCTGAGCATCAACTTACTAAGATCTGTGAGCTGCCACTCAAGACCCTTATCGATGCTTGCAAGAATAATCACAACCTTTTCCGAAGGAATTGGACAGGATCTATCTATAAGATAGGTTATTTGTTGACATGAAGCCAACTGACGATACATGATGGCATAGTGAACGTTATCCGTAGTTTTTAACTTTGGTGTAGTAATTTTGACATTAATAGAAAGTAATCAAAGTGACAGTCCGTGTCACAAAGATGTGATTTCGACTGTAACACTTAGGTCAGAGCCAAAATTACCTTTAGCGGCGACATTCATAGCGGCATGGCGCAGTTGTTCGTAACATTTACGCACATGAATCGTTACGCTACAAGTTCTGATCTCACGTTTCCATCCATGAGCGCTGTATATGTTCAGGGCTTTAACTTTGTCAGCTATGATGTAACTTGCAACTTGTTTGCACTTGTTGCTGGGCCTTTCTCAATAACTGTGGTTACCAACCTGTGTTGGCAGTTTTGGTCAATAATAATAATAATAATAATAATAATAATAATAATAATAATAATAATAATAATAATAATAATAATAATAATAATAATAATAATAATAAATAAATAATAATATAGTTATCTGGCACTCTTTTCGAAACAATGCAGGCGCATATGCGATGAAAGTGACGAGCATCATTTTTGCCTTCTCGTCACAGGTTTTGTTGGAAAAGATTCTTCGCTCGTGTGCCGACGTTGGATCGATCTACCTAATTGTTCGTGGCAAAAGGGGACTACGCGGCGAAGATCGCATTGCAGACATCCTCAAAATGCAGGTGAGTCATTTTGCACTGCGTATGGCGTCCCATTCAAGGAACAGTTGTGTGTACGTGCTCATTAATTCGCCCCTTTTCTTAGTTTTACACTACTGCACACCGCTCATCCCTACGCACACATGCACACACATCTACTAACCCATATGTTAATAAAATATCCGTAAGCAGTTTCCAAGCGTACTGTTTTTGTTAACGAAAGTTTTGAATATACTTAGAATTGATTTATTTTTCTTTCTGTCTGTAAGCCTGTCAATACTATTGTATGTTATTGATCTTTATTTTTGATGTGTGGTAGAAAATTGCGGCGTGGAAATATAGCGCTTAATTGTGCAATAGTCTAACAGTGAATGGACTCTTTTCACAAGACATCTGTGCTGCAACATCTTCCCCCATCTGCGGTCGTTAGTAAAGAAACGGCCGATGTATGTACCACCGATATTTTACAAGCATGCCTTGTCGGATGCTAAGTGGGCAAATGCTGTGGAATGTGTCGTTAAAGTAGAGCGTGAACGAACAGGCACTCGTACGGGAGTGACCTGTCTGGCGACGTCTCGGTTTTGCTTGACACTGCAGCAAATAGCTAACAAAAAAAAAACTTCGAAATAAATGCGAAAAGAAACTTAGCTATCGACGTGTTCAGCCAAAGCTCGTCTTTTTGTTTATGTTTTTTTTTTCCTTTTTGTGATTGACGCTCCATTCAGGAAGGGGGTGAGCCTGCGCAAAATAATCACAATGTTACTACGGTTAGAACACCCGTGACAGTTGTCACATTTGCTCAATGAGCGAAACTGGGACTTGCCCTTGAATGTTGCGAGAAATTGCTTATCTCCAGCGCAGCACTTTCTTGCCGTACTTGCACAACATTATTAAGGACGCCTGCAAAGGATGTCCGAACTACAACGAACGAATACGCCCTTCTGTGCTGGTGAGCCAAAAAGGAAGAACAATGCTTCGATTTCGATACGCCAACACAGCACACATATGGCTGTGGACGGCATCCTAACAAACACGTGTTGCGGAAGGCTATCAGCGTCGTCAACGATGCGCGTACGCCGCCGCCGCTGCTGCTGCGATCGCGCCTCAAACGTAAACACGATGCCGGTGGCTCTCCTCTCCAAATGACGACCTTGTCCAAGGTTGTTACGTCGGCAACCGCGGAAGCCCGAAGCGCTGTTGTGGCGAGACGGTCGGCCCTGGAGTATCGCCGTCGGTCGGTCGGGCGGGGCCGGCTTGTCTGGCTGCAGCGTGCTCGAGAATCTCGCGCCGAGTCATGTCTCGGATAAACGGCGAGTCCAGTGTCTTGGTCCGCCTCTTTGGAAAGTTCCACCACTCGGGGGCGATCGGCTGCCAAGTGTCGGGGAGAACTGTGCGATTCCCACGGCTACTGGGCGCATACGCACGCTACTACACTGCAAGGACGGCGTTTGTTTATCGCTGACGCTGAGCTGAAAGCCTTTCCGAAATCGCGCGAATGCGAAGGGCACTGGGGGAGCCGAGGAAGAGGGTGGGGGGAAAGGGTCGTTAGAAGATAGGGGTTTCAAAGCCCACCGCCTCGTAATTTTGTTAACTTTGCATGTGTACACGCACGCATACAAACGCCCCGCATCGAGAAACAAATCTTGTCACGCCCCTGCAGCGAAAGGCCACGTGGTCACTTGGACTTGCCGAGGTGTTCCATAACACTCTGCTGCAGCAAGAGCGATGTTTGCAAGTTTGATTGCCTCTAGTGGCGCTTCCGATAGATGCGAGGTGCTGAACCGCGCGTTTACTGCTATTCGTGATCACGTAGAAGATCACAAATCTATACAAATCAGTAAAATACCCTAATTTAGTCGGAAGTGTTACGACGTGAAATACAAGCTATCGATCGGTCATTCACACGTAAACTGCGACATCAGTGTGTTAAACGCACGGCGTATGTTTTCGTTTTATTCGAAGGTAAGCTGCGAGAAGTCAAGCTTCATAAGTCTCACATAACACGTGTGCTCATTTCGGACATTTCGTGTAACATTTGAAAATGCCAAGATTTGTTCGGACTGTGCTTCACAGTATGTGCGTGTAATGCCCACCTGTGCATGTGCAGCACTCCAGAACTAAGGGAGAGAAGGACTTCAGTGCTCGCTGACTGGAGGCTGTGCATGTTATCGAATGTTTCTTGAAAACCACTTCATCCAGATTAAGTTAAAAGAAAAAGAAAAACTTCTTTTCTGTCACGATGACAGGTCCGGAAGTACGGCAGCTTGTGAAGATTACATAGAGCCAAGATAAGTAAACGTGATGTGCTGCTTGTTACATTACCTGAGCTTGACTAGACAGCGTATTTAAGTGTCAGTTTTTTTTCTTTTATTCCTGTGACGTGCATTCTGCTCACATTAGCGAAAAGGCGTAGACGACGGACACAATGTGATCGGCTGTGCTGCTGAAAACATGAAAAAATGGTGAGCAACACTCCACAATTGCGTAGTGGTCAATCTGTACTCGGTAACTATATTTTCATGGCGCACAGAACAAGTGCACAGAACATGAACCACCATACCTGTTCATGAAGATGAACTGCCATGAAGATGAACGCTCTCTAACAAATGAAGTTACGCAAGTACGAATGTCTGTGTCGGAGTCTCTATTCCAGGCATGCACACACACACAAAATAAACATGGCTGAGGAGAAGCGAGAATACCCGGCTGTGGTGGTCACATTTCGCTAGAGGCGAAAAGGTTGAGGTGCGATTACTGCGCGATGTCAGCGCGTCGTAGAGAATAACAGTTGGTCAAAATTTCCAAAGCCCTCCACCACTGTGGCGTTTCTCATAATAATACTGTGGTTTCGGCACGTAAAACTCCTGATAATATTATAGAAGAGAGAGAGAGAGAGAAAAGCCGCCCAATGTTGACTTGACGGTGCTCCCTTGTCCTCCTTCGAGAATTTCGGTACTAGCCAAGCGCACAGAACAGAGACAGCACTGACGAATAACGCTGCATGAAAAACTCTGAAGAAAAAACAAGGAAAGCTGGCGGTGCATCGTAAAACTATCAATGCCACAAATACAACATACATGATGCTCACTCAGTACACTTAACACATAAACACGCACGAGAAGCAAAACAATATAGTGACGTGGCAATGCGCAAATAACTAAAATAAGTTTCGAAAAGAATTGTATGCTGGACGTGACAAACTTGTTAGGCAGAGAACGGAAGATGTTGTTCAGAGTTTATAAACCGTAGTTGCTACGTCTTTTTGGTTTCCCCCAAGAAAATTACGCGTCATCTTCGATTTCGGACCCGGAATGCTCCCACGAGCTCATTCGAACAAATTCGCTACACGACATTAGATTTTGATGTGTTCTGTTAGTGTTGAGTACTAAATATGATGGTGCTTTATGGGTATATGACAATAATATATACAACTATATTGGTGAGTACCTTTATGGTATGACTATACTCATTATTAAGGGTGAGCATACCCATGAATGTGCTCTTCCTCATTTTTGGCATAACGCCAAGAGTTCATGGTGTGTTTTTATTTGTGAAGTAGCTTCAACTTTACTTACTAAAATTCTTGAGTTGTGTTACTGCTTCCGCTGCAGCTAGCATTTCTGTCAACTCGCTTGCGATATGCACCGAAAAATCAAGGCGGTATTTCTTGTATGACGCGCTCCGATTGCTAGTACGACCCCCTGCCTCTCTAGGATATTTATAACATTTATAATACTGATTACAAATAGGGAATGGCCCAACTTCGTGATGTACAGGGTTGGCCACATCTTAGCTGAACATCTCATTAGTACTCAAACCAGTGAAACTACGCTTATTCTGCTTCACGAGGTCAATGTCCCTTATTTGACATCTAACCATGGTGTCGACAACCACCGCAATTATTTTTCCGAATTATACGTTAGACTTCAGTTTCTAAGAGCTATTCAATACCAATTAGGATGTCACCTTCGATACGACCTACCCTATACAATTAATTTTGACCTGTCTCATTTCGAGCTCTAAAAAGACATAACTGACTAAATGTATTCGTTTTCCAAAGCTTCTGCGGTTGTCACATATTAGTGCGTTGTTGTTAAAGTTTATCGTAAGTTCAGTTATCGTATTCTATAGTGGACTGCGTTGCTTCTCCTATGTTAAGTTTATATAACGTCACCTTTATTATTGTCACGGGGTGGTGACGTGGACGAAGGAAGCAGACCCGATGTTCAGATGAAACTGTTTATTTGGCTGAACTTGTGGCCAAGAGACCGAAAGTCGGATTACAGTAGCACACGGGCACTGATATTGGCGAACAGAGCGTCGGGCTGTCGATCAACTGACAAGCCGTGAAGTGCGGCGGCGTTTATGCAGGTGCCGTCGAATATTCCAGTCTTATCTTTGGGCATCGCGCGAGCTCTGGGATAATCTCGAGTGTTCCCGTCTTGCGCGCAATCTCAACAGAACGGTCTACAACGATCGCGAACCTTCTCGAACAGTGAGACGCACTTTGCGCTGAGCATTCCTGACAGGCTTTGCGGGCGAAAACAGAATGAAACAAAGGTGAAGATAACAAACGACCGTAACAATATCACGACTCTCAACCATTCATTATTCACTTCATTGATTTGTGGGGTTTAACGTCCCAAAACCACCATATGATTATGAGAGACGCCGTAGTGGAGGGCTCCGGAAATTTTGACCACCTGGGGTTCTTTAACGTGCACCCAAATCTGAGCACACGCGCCTACCACATTTCCGCCTCCATCGGAAATGCAGCCGCCGCAGCTGGGATTTGAACCCGCGACCTAGGGGTCAGCAGCCGAGTACCTTAGCCACTAGACCACCGCGGCGGGGCATTATTCACTTCAACACGTATTTTATACCCACTCGTGGTCGCGCATCGCCTTAAAGAAACGCACAGTCCGGCGCCTGTTTTCGTCATCGTCAGTTGATTGATTTGTGGGGTTTAACGTCCCAAAACCACCATTTGATTATGAGAGACGCCGTAGTGGAGGGCTCCGGAAATTTTGACCACCTGGGGTTCTTTAACGTGCACCCAAATCTGAGTACACGGGCCTACAACATTTCCTTCGTCATCGTCAGTATTTCGCGTCTTTTAGTTGAGCAGTTTTATAATCACGAGCCCATACCAACTTGCCCAACTCTCAGTGACATCTTTGTTATGACTGTTGGGATAAAATGACGCTCAAAACTGCTGTGTTGGGGCTGGCTGGTCCCGACGAAGCAGAAGAAGAAGAAGACGGCCGACGGAGACGTACGCGGCCGGCGGGGACACCGACCAGCCCGAACACGCGGGTTGGCGCGAAGCGCCGAAAGAAAGCACAACAACCACACTCCACGGTTACCTAACACACACTCTGTCTTTATTTTACAGTCGCCTTGAAATCCTAGATGCCAGAGCGGCGCCCCCTGGCATCCTCACATGTCAATCCGAAACCGAAACACAGAACACAACAAAAACCTGAGCCTTTCTTTTGCGCACTGAGACTACAAATGAAACTTCACAATGTATACAGGCTGTCTGTGTTTCCTCGCGGTTGCTGTGCTTCCCCGTGGAACGGAGAGGCAACGCTAGAACATTCACAGTTTCCTCGAATAATAAAAAAAGGTTTCCTTCTACGAACACGCGTTCGGGTCGTCAGTCGTTGGCACGAATTCAATCGTGTATAGCTGCCACTCTATCAATCGTAGCCGATTATGTTTCCTTTCGCGGTGGCCGAGTCGCGTGCCGCTTGCTACCGACGTCAGCATCCCACTTGTCGATTCGTCGTGACACTTCCGTCCGTGTCCATCGTAGCCTTTGTACTTCGTGTAGATGAAAAGTGGCGTGCGTCTCTGCCTGATGTGGTGATTTACTGCATAATAATTCCCGCATGCAGCCCAAAAACTGGCAGAACAACAAAATAGGATAATGAAGGAAGACTTGATTCGTTGGCTTTTTGTTCCTCGTCGTGTTTTGCACATGTTAAACGACGTATTTGAAAACAGCGTTACGTGCTTTTGGGCGGAACAGAGAGAGAGAGAGTTGTAGAAATCGCACCACATGGCTGGTGACACAGAAACTGTCCTTTTTTTCAATCAAATGAAAAACAAAATTATCAATAGCCTAGAAGATGTGCTGAGGAGTGTGAGTGCAGCCTGAAAACTTACATAATGTTTTTGTAAGCTTGCTTCGGCTTCTATACTATACACTAACGCCATGACACGGTATGAGTTCCTCGTCATGCGATTGTACTAGTTGCGTTTCCATGGCTGATCCGCTGCGTGGCTCCATTGGAGACGCACAAGCAGCCACTTTGAACGCGCTTAGTGACGCGCAAATGGCCATATTGTGTATTTTAGTGTCTGACAAGCCATATTGGTGCGTGAGGGTACCAGAAATGACTCTGTGTAGTGACGTCAAGCGAGTGTCAATGTTGGTAGGGGCACTATGGGAAGAAGATTCAGTGTAATATGAAGATAAAACGTCAGTATCTGCTCAGATTCACTGTCGATCACAGTAATCTCCGCGTACAATAAATCTGTGTGATAGAGTAAGCTCTGTGTTCAACTTGCGATTCCCATATCATACACTTGCATTGGCCAATCAATAGCTTTCAATTTTCGAAAATGGGTAGCGACGTTCTATGCGTTGCTTTTACAATCTGTGGTTCCAGTATTGTGAGGCTCCAACGTGTCTGGCGTTTGTGCAGCTGTTCCAGAGGCTGAGGCAAGAGAGGCCGCAGGCCTTTCAGAAGATTGTTGTCCTGGAAGGCGACCTGACTCTTCCAGATTTGGGCCTCAAGCCCAAGGACAGGCAGCTGCTGCTGGATACAGTAAACGTTGTCATCCACTCTGCTGCTACAGTAAAGTTCGACGAACCCATCAAGTGAGTGTGTTCCCTCATTGACAGCCATAGGCAAAATGCTCTAACAGAGAGTTTTAGTTTATCGCGCGCAACGGCCCTAGCGCACGCATCGCCCGAGAGGGAACATGGCTGCGCATGCGCTGTACGTAATAGTGATGCGTGCGTTTGCGTACGCGAGGTATGCGTACACTAGATCTCGGCGCTTACATTGCGCACGCTGAAGCCGTTGGGTACCTTAGCAGCGGCTCTCGCGAGATCTCCACCTGGTGAGAGCACAGAAACCAAGATGGCCGCGACCAAGAGCAGCACAAGCAGCAGCGCGGTCGTGGCTGCGAGTAAATCCCGCGTCCATTTTACGATTGACCTCGATTTGGAGCTGCTTGCTTACGGGAGGAGCTTATTTCTGTTCGCGGACCCCGTGCGATGGACAGCTATCGCTGTGAACATACAGAAGCTGACGGGGATCCCTTTCAACGCCCGAAAATGTTTGCAGTTTCATGTCTCATGTCTTGACTCGCGTCAACTATGCTTGGCTATTTTAGTTTAGCGCATAGTCACTAGGTGGCGCTAAGTAGCACTCCAAGACGAAGGTGTTGACGCTTAGGCGCAGTCCATGGGTCCGTTTTCGCGTACGATAGACTAATACTGCAGGAAGCAGCCTCAGTTGTAACGTATAAATTGCGCGCTAGCCGTTGCGGACGTACCGCCTTGCGCGCGTTGCTCAACTAAAACTCTCTAATATTTCACCTTTTGTGTGCTTCTCGCCGCTTTCTTGCTGCAAGATCGATTACCAAACCACGTAACTGCTTCTTTTTCGAAGCTTATATTTATGTGAAACCACAAATCACGATGTCATTTCTTGGAACGAGAAATGAATTAACTCATTCATTCATTACTAAATAATTAGTTACCAGGACAGCAACTTGAGTAGAATTTCACAAATTGATAAATTTCCCAAATTCATGGCATGTATATGTTATAATTCAGTGCCCAAACTTTGTAACGCTTTATTATTTGCTGACGTAAAACCTCGTGACATAAACCTTTTACCTGGTACTGATGACTCCGTTTTTGCCAATTTCGCTTACAGGAATGCCGTCAAAATGAACCTAAATGGCACGAGAAGAATAATAGAGCTTTGCAACGAGATGGAGAACATAAAAGCAAGTATTTACTTATTGTTAAATATTTAATTCGGGCTGCAAAGTGAACAGCATTGCAGTCATATGATCAACACGAACATCGTATTCGATTATCTCAAATGACCTCATAGTCGTAGAGATTCCTAAATATACACTAGAGGGCACTCTGGCGCTAATGTTCATGGGAATTGCAACACATAGCGCTTCAGCCACCATGTGAATGATGGGTTTTTTTACGAATTTGGCTAGTATTCCCTAGTCTTCGTTCTTTTGGCTCCGAGTGGCCTGAATCTTCTTTGCTGCAATACAACGTTCAGCAAAGGTTTAGCAGCTACGTTTCACCACTTTGAGCTTTATATGCTCACAAATTTAAATCGGGTCAAGAAGTTCACAACAGTTTGTTCTAAAAACAAAACCAAAACACAGCAATAAACAAAGACAAAAGAGCATTCGAAGCCTGCAAGTACGAAGACTAGGCAAGATGAGGCAAATATGTGTACTACCCATCATTCCTATGGGATGTGTTCCAATTCTTACACAGCCCGTAGACAGTCTACGCAGACTGCTTAGAAGACAGCACTGAGCTCGTGCTGTCCGAAAATTGGAAGGCATCTGGACGGCTTTTATGCGACGAGACGCCACCTCGCGTAGAGAACAGGAGGTTAAATTAAACAAACGTAACTGTTGTACTGTCTGGCTTATTTTGTGTTGAAATCTGAAAAAAAAATTAAATGTCACTCTCATTTAGCGTCTGGAGAAGCGTCTGCTTGTCTGCAGACGACCATTCCGGCGAGATTCGATCTATCCGAGTGATTCGCTGAGCCGCCATCTTGTTTGGACAGCAAAGTATCAAAGTAGCCTGCATCGTATTTGTCTGTGATATGGTCTTCTCGGAGATGTCTATTTTGCTGGCTTCGTGAGAAATGGAATTGGACTTAAAATGGCCGCCGTCTGTTTAGCCATCTACAGTGAGTATTGGAACACACCCATGGTCGCTTAATGATTACAGTGGCTTCCTGTAGTTAACTTTAGGAAACTCTGCGCTCATAGTCATTCGTGTGTACAGCACAGTCATGGGTGGGTGCACATTCGCGTGGATGACACAATAGAAATTAGTGTACTAAAACGCAGAACTCTCGCGACATACAAATTTTAGTATAATTTATCAAAAAAAAAAAAGAAGCTTCGCTGTCTACGTCTGAGCTGTTTTGAAATATGAAGTGGTCATATTCGTGGCATTTCAGGCTGTTTGTCTCAAAGCGTCGGATGTAATATTGAATTATTAACACTGCCCATTTCAGAGAGTACGGCATGAAGCAACACTTACAAATGACTTGTAAGAAATAACTACTGATGAACACGTGATATATCCCAATTTCGTTGCATTATGCCATTGTGCAATACGTGAATAAACCTTGTTATGTTCTCTGCATGAAGTTCTGTTGAACTGCGATGATGATAAGGTGACATTTCCGAAAAGCGAAATTGAATGCGACGTAGTTTTTCTCCTAAATTTGTTTTTGTTTCCGTTCCAGGTGTTTGTTCATGTTTCCACGTGTTACTGCAATTGCGACAGGGGAGAAATCAAGGAAGAAATTTACCCACCCATTCAAGACCCAGACCACATAATCAAAATAGTTGAGTGAGTATGTTGCTCGGACGCTTTCGCTACTTATACTGCATAGTTGATTCTACTTCCACTCCAAAAGACAGGGGCGCGCAAAACTTCGCACACTCATCGTGTTGCACTTCGGGCAGATGTAATGAAAGCAGAAAGTAATTATAAGTATATAATAATGCGTAATCGGTACACAACGAATGTTTGTCCACGTTAATATTACGGTGCAAAATTCTGAAAAGGAAACAGCTGCTTTTATTTTTGTCATCTAGCAATTCAAGGTACAGCAGTCTTCTGAAAACTAAATTGAGGTAGTTAATCATTCGTTGAATTTGTATAAGTGTTATTTCTTACAGGGCTGAAGTTTCTAAGGCAGTAGAAAACATTGCTCTTTTCCCTATTTTTATTTTACCTGCCATGTATACGGGTCATAATAAAGCATAATGTCAACCAGCTCATCTACTACTATATCTGTTTTGCGTTGTTTCTGTTTGTTGCCTTTCTGTTCAGTGGGTAAATTTAAGACCAGAATGGCGTAACCAGATGTGATTGGTGCTATATGTCAGCACTCATGGTGAGCATTACCCGGAGAGATTCACGCATAAGGTTTCGATTTAATTCATTTGTTTTTGTTTCTCAATAACCGCGTTCCCCCGTTAAGGGTCCCGTTTTAACCGACGCTCTCCTCGCAGTTGGCTCGATTCGGAGACGCTGGATTCGTGCCAGTCCAAGCTTCTCGGGGCAATGCCCAATACGTACACATTCACCAAGGGGCTGGCCGAGACGCTCGTCCAGCGAGAATGCAAGGGCTACCCCGTCGCCATCGTCAGGCCCTCCATCGTCGTCTGCTCCTGGAAGGAGCCCTTCCCTGTAAGGCACATATCTCTTTAGGTTCTCTTTTGCAACAAGCTCCCACCAATTTGTTATTCCTTTTATAACATAGAAATTTTAGACCAAATAGAACGGAATACCTATATTACCCGCAAACGCGTTTAGGGCTCCCGCGTTGGGACTGAAAGGTCTGACAGCGGGTGTGCGCAATTCCATGGACGCCGATCGGGAAAATTGGCTGCAACCTGCATTCAGAACTCTAAGCGAGCTAAGAACGTTTGAAATCGTTCTTACACCATTTTACCCTACCGGGTGAAACTTGTAAACTAGATTGATTTGATATGTGGGGTTTAACGTCCCAAAACCACTATATGATTATGAGAGACGCCGTAGTGGAGGGCTCCGGAAATTTAGACCACCTGGGGTTCTTTAACATGCACCCAAATCTGAGCACACGGGCCTGCAACGTTTCCGCCTCCATCGGAAATGCAGCCGCCGCAGCCGGGATACGAACCCGCACCCTGCGGGTCAGCAGCCGAGTACCTTAGCCACTAGACCACCGCGGCGGGGCAACTTGTAAACTAGATCCAAGAAAGTGAAATGGGGCTTGTAATTGTTTTAGTTAACGCGCTATAATATTTTTTCCAAATCAGGCCTCCCTTTTGCACGTTTGCTCACAAAAGGCTACTAAAACATGGTTTCGTGTATATGTAAAGGTCTGGGGTTATTGATCGCAGGAAGGTTGTCGCACTGTTCTGGCGATATGGGCAAGCAATTTCTGTTTGGACATTTCTAAGACGTCATTTTTTTACCATATAGCGTAAGAACACCCGCTGTGTTCCATATTTTAAAACCTATGACAGTGAGCCACATTTTTAAATTCACGGTTTGCAACTATTTCAGGGTTGGGTTGACAACTTCAACGGACCCACAGGCTTGATTGTTGCTGTGAGTACATGTCGCATTGTTATGTGCATTTTTCATTCTCTCTTGGTCCTCAAAGCCCAACGTCGCCGTCCAGAACATTAGTTCAAACCAGCAGTTAGGTATTTATGAATATATTCTGATCACTGGCATAAGTGACGGACATAATTTACGAATAATTGTTGGGATCGAACGTCCCAATATCACCATATAATTGAGAGACTTTGTAGTGGAGGGCTTCGAAACTTTTGACCACCTGGGTTTCTTTGACCTGCACCTAAATCTCTAAGTACTCGGACCTCGATAACTTTCGCCTCCATCAAAAATGTGGCCGCCCCGGTCACCATGGCGGGTGGGCGTCAACTACGTAATAACTTTTTGAGGCAGCACTACTATACATTGGCCATGTTCGTTGCCAAGAGTACGCAAAATACGTTAATGAAATTAGTACGCTTGCTCGGATATCTGTTTGTGCTAGTTGAAAGAGCACTTTTCTCATCAGTACATTATCGTATGAGCCAGCCGTAAAAACGAAATTCGGGGCATTTTTGTCACCGTATAACATTACCCACGATCTGGAACAGACCGCAAGGTGTGCCGTTTGTTGGTTGGAGTAAGGGGGCTTGAGCGGCCTGGGGCAAACGATACTGGATCTGTAAACCATAGTACTTACAGAAGCTCAAACACGAATGGATTGTAGTTGCTTTACGGGGACTTTAAAACAACCATATTTTGTGGGAAATGTAGGCGTAAAATTTGGCACTGTGAGACAAAGCACCGATTTTTCCAAGCGTACCATGTGGTTTTTTGACAACGACTTCTAGTGTTGTGTGCTAGCGATGATCGCAAATCATGCTTATTGCCATTCACAGTCACGCTTATTTTCGCCTATATGTTTTTAAAACTTATTGCATGGTAAGAATTTTTTTCGCACCGTTAATACTAAGCCTTGTGCCTTTTGCTGATCGCAGGTGGCCACTGGTGTGTTGAAGAGTGTGTACACAGATCCCGACATGGAAACAGACTTCGTCCCCGTTGACGTAGTCGTCAACTGCATCCTGGCTTCAGCGTGGAACGTCGCCGTCACCAGGTCAGATGACTTACTTTTCAGGCGTCTTGTCTTTAAAGGGAAATTAAAGGAAACTATTAAGGCGATGTTGATTGCTGAAATAGTGGTCCGGAAACCTCATACTGTTACTTTTGTGCCAAGGAAAGGCATATTTTGAAATAAAATTGCGTTTTAGTGCTCCACATCGGGTTAGCACGTTTCAAATTACCCGCCTTAAAAAGCGGAACGTCTCACGTCACTGTTGCCGCGCACAACGTTGCCCGGCTTTACTGCGTGGCCGCCGATACTAGTAGCAGCAGAACGAAAGCAGCGGGAGCCACAGCAGAAACAACGCCCATTGATCAATTTTCCGACATTGGCTCCGAGATGGCAGACGTGCTTGGTTCAACTGGGCCCTCCATATGGCACGACCTGTTCAGTTTAACCAGGCAAAAATTGAGCTTGTGAACCACTCGAGTCATTCCCCATAGTAACGTCCGGTGGTTATTTTTTCCATGAATCAAACAGAAACGAACAAGCAGCATTTTTATTTCGTCTCTTGATGCACGGAATGTTCTTTATTTAGTGCAGCCAGATCGATTACTCGTGATTAATTGTAGGTGGTATGCCTGACGCCGTCGGGATCATTTTGAGAAAGTCCTACTGTGGCGCATGTATTTTTGTGCATTTACCTTAATTTCCCGGTAAGTAAGGGCACTGCTGTTGATAATATTGTCTAGAGGTTTTCATACATGCGACTTTCGCTCTGACGTACGTAAATGATTATTTCATTTTAGTGTGCCTTTAAGCAAGCCCTCAAATCAGTTTGCCACTGCATCACTATGTTCGAATTCATCCATAGATTGTATGTCTGGTCGTGAAGTGTAAATGACTTCTTAGAGATGCGCGAATTTTCGGAAATTTTGAATAACAAATCGCATAGCATTCCATTCGATTCGATACTCGAATAGCGTAGTACAATTCAAAAACCGAATATTTGTCGAATAGTTTTCGAGTATTCAGCACCGAGCGACAAACCTTGGAGTAGCTAATGGTCAGTTATCTTTTTTTTGGGGGGGGGCGGGGCACTCAGTAAATGACCATTTTGCGTGCAGCCTGAGATTTTACGACGCTGCCGATGCTAGAATCATTACTGGATAACGATGTTTTTCTCGTGGTCATCGCTCGAAAATTTAGTCTGTATGTCTCAAATTTATTTAAAAGTGGCGACAAACTATCAACTTTATTAATATAGTGTTTCAATGTGTTACAGAATATTACGATGGCTCTGGTCGCTGGCAACGTTACTAGAATGCCGCTACTGCATATTAGGTTACTCAAGTTGTATTTTTTGGTGAAAGATTGTCAATATTTTTTTCAATTAAAACATTATAGAGTTAAAGGACCGTTTTCAAAACGCTTGTCTTGCTGTCCGAAAAGTATTCGTATTGAATTTGGTGTTATCACTATTCAGTTCCGAAATTCACTATCCGCACACCCCTAGTTCGTGTAGTTATGTGTCGTGACGTGGGTGTTCTCAGTTATTACCTCTTTGTGGTTGAAAAACACGGAGCAGCACTGGTGATACGATGAAACCACGCAAATCTAGTGAACCAGTTATAATGTCACGATAAATGGAGAAATGAAACCATCTACCCGAAGGGAAGCCGGATGGGTTGCGAAGAAGCAGCGGTGCACACGGCGTTCCCCCGGTTAAAACATGCGTCCACGCGGGGGCTGGAAGAACGGTTTGAAGCGAAACTCGGTGCAGTGTTTACTCGAGTTAGCGTTTGTTTGAAACGCACCGACACGGGAGGTGGGTTAGGTTTCGTAAGTTTGATTAAAGCGTTTGGCAAGACTTCGTAGATGTCGTTTTTTTTTTCGGAGTGAATACGGGCGCTGGACTGGAGTTGGCGCGCGTTTCGCCTTTACTATACCATGGCCTTATTGTTGGTGAAGTCCACGCTGAGAGGTTCTTGCAGACATTCGACGTCGAAGTAGGCAAAGACCAGATCGATGCACGTTACCCTTATCGTCGTGGCTAGTTCAGCGGCGGTCGCGGCAGGTGTTGCGGGCGAACGGACGAGCCGGCAGCTGCGGGCGCTGAGGCGAGCGCGCGGCAGGCGAGGGAAAGACTGACGTCAGCGCGCACTGCTAGGGGAGCGTGGCTTCAACGTGAAGCTTCGACGGGACCTACTTGGCACCGCTCGAACACCAACATCGAGGGGAACACATTTTTTTTTTGCGCGTTCGTACGGATGCACGTGCGTCGGCGTTACGCACGTGAGTCAGAGCTGCTTCGCATCTAATAGAGAGTTTTAGTACTGCGTACGCTGCGTACGTGGCGGCATTGCGTACGTAAGGACGCCACGTTCTGCGTAGTGCGCATGCGCAGACCGCAACGCGCACGTATCGCGTTACGTACGCAGCCGCTACGTACGCACGCATGAGACGCGTGCGTGCGTACGTATGAGCTGATCGCGCCGCTCTCGAACAAGTTCGCGACAGCGCGAGACCTCGTTTTGCAAAATGGCGGCATCGAAGGCAAGCACAGACCGGCTCTGTGGCTTAAAATATGGCCATAATCTGGCTATAACACTTAGATTCGCTCACATTGGCTCTCAACAACACGTGCTTCTATTTTGATCTACCAGATGGCGCAACACGCTTCACGCTCGTTACGTACGCGGGTACTACGGCGTACTAAAAGCCGATTAGTGGGAAACGACGCCACGTAACGCAAGGCGCTTGCGTGATGCGTACGTAGCACCATTCCGCAGTACTAAAACTCTCTATTATCTCAGTGGAGGAGCATGTATAGGTGCATATGAGAGCAGCGCTGGGTTTCCCCACATTGCAGCAGATGACAGCGAAAACTGAAGCTGCGAAACGGGTTCAGCATCGTGGCATATAACTTAAACCTTCTGTTCAGAATACCCAGATTTTTGTGGGTGCGTGAATTCCAGTTTATTTGCCTTACTCGTGCAAGTCTGCGCATACTCATCGACCACTCATCGAAGCGATTCTTGGAAGTAGCAAAACTTTAAGCACACAACATCCTGACGTCGCCCCTGAAATTGCGCATTCATGAAAGCAATGTACACGACTTCTATGCGGCTTCTCATTCTCAACAATAATGCATTCTGCGTAGATATTCTGTTTATCTTGTGCATGACTAAGGAAACCTGGAGACTGAAGAGGGTACCCGCGTAAGGGCGGGGGTGTTGGGGTGGTGTAGCTCAGGCCTCTCCTGACCCTCGCGTCTGATGCTTCTGCTAATGTTTTCCTCATATGCATGCACGCAGGCCGTCCGATGTGCGGGTAGTTCAATGTGCGTGCAGCGGGCGCTCCCCACGGCTCCGCTGGCGGGACATGAAGGCCATACAGGAGTCCTTGATGACTGAGCTGAGCTTCAAGAGTGCTATCCGATACCCGGACGTCCACCTGAGGCGCAACATCGTCATCCACCGGACCTCCATGTTTCTTCAGCACTATGTGCCGGCATGCATAGGGGATGCCGTGCTTGCGTGCGTCGGAAAGAAGCAGTGGTACGTGCATGCATCTTGTCCTTTGCCGAAAGGCTCACAGACATCCAAGCCAAACGAATTTTGTTTTTCAAATAATTATTCGAATTATTTAGAAAAGCTGTTTGTATGGGAGTCAGGAATAAGCAGAACTACTCTCGAAGTTCGAACCACTTCACGACCCCGGCTGAGATGTGTACATTATGCTGAGGAAACTGAATTAAATGGCCTTTAGCTTAGAATAGTGCTTTTTTTCCCACGTTCTTGCACTAGACTCGGACTTCAGCTCTAACCACACGTATGCGTTACAACGCGCCAGCATGCAGCCCGATGCAGCTGCGTGCTTTCTCCTTCCACAAGAACCCGACATGACGCTGAGTGTACACGGCACGCGCTGATAGACGCGTTGTAACGTGTATGAATACGTGTGGCTAGGGCTTCAGGAGACCCGGTCTGTCGCCGTTGCGGCATTCTTCAAAATATTCGCCGTTGCAGATGTGGTAGTTTCAGTGTATCCTATTCAGGCACTAATTATGATGCACTCTCTACCAATCTGTCAAATTCGCAAAGCACAATTTTTAGGGACTCAATATTACATTCTGAGAAATAAATTGTAGCAATGTTCGGCTTCGTGTAAGCTTCAGCAATACATTGTAGTTAGCATGTAAATACATATCTTATTGTTATACGGACCATCATGTGTCATTTTGACATAAAAAGAATAGAATCATAGGCTCTAAATGTATTTGCAATTAGTTTTGGTTGTATTCATTTAGATAAAAAAAAAAGTAACTTTTGATCTTGGTGCTCGAATGCGGAACATCGAACGACCCGTCGAACATCATAGTGCCTCCATCACAGTGATCAATCACAGTCGTACGCAGCACACTGGGTTTAAGTGAATACATACTCTGCGTGGAAAAAGTTCAGTTCATTCAATGAGCGAAGTGTATCGCTCTCTGTTAGCCACAAGTGGACAGAACTAGTGTAAAGTTGGGTGCTCAAACGTAGCCACCGCTGCTAAAGTGTTTTTTTTTTTGTTGTTCGCCTTGCTTAGCAGCACAATGCTCTTCCGAAGTCGGTAACGTCGACACGCCGATCAGTTTTTCCCAAATGAGCCCGCATAGCGTTCACACAAACACTTATCCTGTAGCGTTCACACACACTCATCCTGAAATTTTCGTTGAAATTCATTAGCTCAGATTTTGTATAAACATCACGGCACCGGTCGGAAGAAGCCGGAATTTCGTGTTCTCTAAAGATACGCGATTCCTGTATATGGAAGCAGCACATGCGCTTTGTGGAATGTCACCAGATATACATTTAGAAATTCCTGTTCCGTGTGCACGCCGTCATATACCAGAGGCTGCAATTTGTTGCAGCTTACAGGGATACGCAAATGATGGCGTTGGTCTTCGGATGTTGTGGAGTCGTGTTCATGCACAAGCCCGACTCCCTGTGAATGCTCACTTCCACGCACTATAGACTTGAAGACCGTTCATATCGCTAAAATGTATGTGAGGACGATGACGATCTAAACTTCACGTAATTAACACGCCAAACGCGCAGATCGCTCAACACGTTTAGTACATGTGCAACCAGATATTGAGGTTGTCCTATTGTGCCAGCCTTGTTCTGCTGCTTTAATGAGAGTGGGTTAAGCTGCCGCACTGTAAATAATTTGGAGGTCCGCTGTGGTGGTGTAGTGGTCGCGGTGCCCGGCTGCTGACCCGAAGGTCGAGGGTTTGATTTCGGTGGTCGCATTTCGATGGAGGCATAATGCTGTAGGGGCCCATGTAGTGTGCGATTTCAGCGCTCAATAAAGAACACCAGATGGTAAAAATTTGCAGAGGCCTCTATAATAGCGTCATTCACAATAGTGTGATGGTTTTGGGACAAGAAACGCCAGATATTATTAAACCATGTGGGGGCGGTGTCACTTAAATGACGTACGGCAGCAGCTGAAAATTTCCTTTTGGGTTTCGTCTTCTATGATTCAGTCAGGCGTAGCTCGTAGCAACGGAACACACGCAAATTATTTTGCGTATCCAAAGTTTACTTTTTTTCATACCCTAAAATATTTTTTTTCGTAATGGCGTAATTGGTTGTGTAATTTGTAAGTCGGTCATGTATAAAGAGTGAGTCCGTACAATGCGCGTATTGTTTTATTTGCCTGAACGAAACACTTTTGTTGATTTTTCTTTGTTGGTGTCCCCTCCTTGAAGGCTAGTCAAAACATACTACAAGCTCGAGCTCCTCCTGGAGGCCCTCGGCTACTTCACAACGCATCAGTGGAAGTTTGAGACGAACAACATGATGGCCATTTACAACGACCTCTCCGAGGAAGAAAAGAAGGTTTGTAATCTCTATGCATGGCTGGGCAAAAATATATTGACATTCTATCGAGATATGACACGAGATATTTGGGCATGACGTATTTGAGATACATATACAAAATGCTGCCGAAATAATCACATCCGATACGATACGTCCCTAGTGTATATTAAAATAATCCGATAATTTGAAAAGTTGGAAGTACATACCAAATTTGTTGTACTTACCGAGCCTCCCGGATTTACCGGGAGACTACCAGATTACAACCAGTTCTTACGTTTGTGCGGCTGTCAAGAAAATCTTCCCAAAATCTAAATTTCTGTGCGTGATCTGGCCGCGATGACAAAAATGCGGCCCAATTCGATCCAGGCGATTTTATACTTTAACGTTCTTCAAATGAATCTACGTTTTCATGGCCTCCGTAGGACGCATAGAGACGCTGCCTCAATAAAAGCAGGCATGTTTGATGCTGACATTGACAACAAGTGTTCAAACGAGCACTCACTATATACGCCAATGAGGTAATCACCTTTGAGCCCGTACACTTTTCAATGCAGATCTTCAACTTCGACGTGAGCACGTTAGAATGGAGACCATTTTTCTACCACTACGCTATCGGTGCCAGGGACATCCTCCTCAAGGAGGACCACTCCAAGGTCAAAAATCGGAACTTCCAAAGGTGAGGCTACATATTTGGAAAAAAAAAATTCACACCATCTTCCCCAATTGAAACCCGATGGGATACGAACCACCAGCGCTGCTCACAGGTGGCGTCACGGGTTGAACGGCGCTAACGCGAGTGCTGTGGTGTTGCAGGTGCAACGTCTCTATTTGCGAACGCGATCGGCGTCGCTGAACCGCGCAACCACAGTGGCGCAACGCCGGCGACGATTGTGTTAGGCCTTATCGCTTCGGCGGATGTGTTGGCGGGCGAAGGAGCGTCGTTTTCCGGCGTCCTCTCCAGCGTCGCGTTGTGAGTGGTGGAGGAGAGGGTGAAGCACTTTGAAGTGAGCGCTCGTCCATATACATCTGTCTTTCGTTTTTTGTCTGTTTAAGCGCTCTAAATACCACTGTGTATAAGCAAGAGAAAGGTAACACGTACAGACATATTTCAACGCTTACATTAGACGCGCGTCAGGTTTGGTGCGCCTGAACCGGTCACTGGTGAGTCGGCAGTGTAGCGAGTGGCGGTCGCGGCAGGTGTTGCGGGTGAACGGACGAGGCGGCAGGCGAGAAAGAGTGTGGCGTCAGCGTGCACTGCGAGGGGAGCGTGGCGTCAACGCGCAGCTGCGGCTGACCTACTTGGCACCGCTCTAACACCTGCGGCGAGGAAAGCGCGTCGCTGCGCGTTCATACGGATGCACGGGAGGACAGCATTACACAGGCTAATCAAAGAGCTGCTTCGTGTTAAAAAATCGCAGCGTATCCACTGAGTGAATGATGATGAGTAAGGTGAAGCATCCATCCGTCTGTCCGTAGATCCGTCCGTCCGTCTATGCTTCCATTCATTTGTCCGTCCCATTGCACGCACTTCTACTGGACCAATGCCATCTAAGAAATGAGGCGAGAAATTTGATCAGACAGCGCCATCTATTTACTGTTTGAGAGACACCTCCGGTTACGCCTGACGCAGAACAAACTAAAAGGAGCTTCGCCCCTAAAACGAGCATCCAGGTTATCCGAGGTTAACAGCGCAAAACACCCGGACAGGAGCGATAGAAGGACACGGTACAGCGCTGTGAGCAAGATGGAAAACTGGGCTAGTTGGTGAGCATTCATCGTGGTTAACAGCGCATCGTGGTTAACAGGCAGCGCTGTACCGTGTCCTTCTATCGCTCCTGTCCGGGTGTTTTGCGCTGTTAACCACGATGAATGCTCACCAACTAGCCCAGTTTTCCATCTTGCTCAAGGTTATCCGAATTAAGCACGCTATGAACAGTATGTTGTATGCAATGTGTGTGGTATCTGCTGGGATTTCCCTTCAACACGCCCGTCATCAAAAAATCACAGCAAATTCACGGAAGAGTGACTGATGATGAGTGGGGCGAAGCCTCGGAGGGTTTTGTCGTAAACCGTGAATTGACCATCTGTCTGTCTGTCTGTCTGTCTCTGTCTGTCTCTGTCTGTCTGTCTGTCTGTCTGTCTGTCTCTGTCTGTCTCTGTCTGTCTCTGTCTGTCTCTGTCTGTCTCTGTCTGTCTCTGTCTGTCTCTGTCTGTCTGTCTGTCTGTCTGTCTGTCTGTCTCTGTCTGTCTGTCTGTCTCTGTCTGTCTGTCTCTGTCTGTCTGTCTGTCTGTCTGTCTGTCTGTCTGTCTGTCTGTCTGTCTGTCTGTCTGTCTGTCTGTCTGTCTGTCTGTCCACATCTAGGTGGGACAGACTCACGGCTTTAGAAGCTTCGCCCCCAAATTAAAATGATTGCTTGATAGTATATATGTTTTCAGCGTATTTACTATTAAGAACAAAAATTACTTTTACAGTATCTGAAGCCTCCCTGTTGCACTGTTATGCTTGAACACTGCGTTCTAAAAAGCAGCACATTTTTAATTTGGGTTCCTTCATGGTTCTCGAGAAATTATTGCGCATGTGCGTGCTCTGTTACGAACCACAGCTTTACAGACAGCCTTTCCGCTTGTAAAAAAACTTACAGGCACACTATTTATTAAAGAAAATGAAGGAACTATAGTCGTGTGCCTTGGCCGAATGCGCTATTGATGAAGTGATAGGTTCACAGAAATGTGAATGGTGAGCTAGTGCTTCAAATGAAGTAGCTCTCTGATGACTTCTAGCTAAAGAAGGTGAAAGCCTACTAGAAGCCAATCGGTCAGTTTCGCGCGCAGGCTGTACGTGGTGAAGCAGGCGACCAACGTGCTGTTCGCCCTGGCCGCCTGGAAGCTTCTGGACATGGGCCCGACCTTGTGGCGGTTGTGGGATTACCTGACGGACACCGCAGCGTCGACGTTTACGGGCTGATGACGGCTTGGCCACCGCCTGGCCCAAGCCACGACAAGGGACCAGCCGCCGCCCCAACAGCAGCACAGCACCGTACAGCTCCGCGGTTGACCTTGCACCGGGCCGTCACCGTCACAGGAACCTGCACCACCGCATCGGGAAGGCACACGCATCACGCGAACGACCATCATCACATCCATCCCGTCCACACCCACACCCTGTACTCTTTGCTCTCTTTGCGATGCTGTCATGTCATGTTGTTTATATATGTGTGCATATATGAACAGTGAGTAGTCCTTGCGAACGTTTGTACGCGTGTTTTTATCTACGCTTTGATTAGTTTTAGAGACAGGCTACCGTAACATAGCAAACAGCACAGAGGTCAGAAATGCCATGTAGGCAGCTCCGAGGAAGGCAAAGAGAGTACAAGAAAGCAAGGACCTTGTTCAGGTTACGGGCGGTTAGAATGGCATATTTTAGCCAATGTAGAGCCCGTGACATTGGGCTTCTTTTCGCATCGCTGTGCCATCCGGCTCGTTGTATGGGCTGCGAGTTTGAACCAGCTGATCACCAAGCGATCAACGCAAATCTGAATTCCCATTGGCTGTACGGCGTTAATTTCGGGTTTTAGTGGTGCCCGGGCTTTCGAAGAATATTCTAAAAATAATAAAATCCGAACGGTGTGCTCGTCCCACCAAACAAATGTGACTGGCTTCGTGTTTTCAAGTCAACGTCCTGGACCCACCGCTGAACAATGGTGTTTGCTGCTGAAAAAAATTGTTTGACATATAGGCGATTGTCAGTGTTTTTGGGAGGTTTTAATTCACGCCTCTTCCATGTTTGTTCTGTGTCCTGTGATACGCCTTGTCGGCAGCCAAAATTTATTTTAGTTATGGCTTCTGACGATTTCTGCTGAAGGTGCTGCAGCGTGTATTCCTTTGGTAGTGCGTACCTGTATCATTTACCGTGTCCAAAGTGTCTATCGGAGTTACTGCTACTCCATTTAGCTTATGCAAGAGTTCGTTATGTATATGTGAAACTTTCATTCTGTGTTTATTTGAAAGGGGGCCACAGAAATTCTTCGGGCCGCCTCTCCGAAGAACGTTTATGCAATGAGCATAACATAAAAGCATTCCCGTGATAAGAAAGTCAATCTTTGCTTGTATTTAGGCATCTAGGAAGAAACCACTGGGCAACAAGAGTATACTACACGTTCTCATCGCTAGGCATTTAACTGCTGCTTTAATCATTTTTATTACTAGTATTCACTGAAAGTATTTAGGAGCGTCTTTGCTTGCAGATTCTACTGTCATTCAAATAAACGGAATGGAAATTAATCGTTTTCTTTTTCGTGATTTTAGACCTTTAAAGTTTATCCTGCTCATCGTGGTAGTTACCTTGATGCACAACTTGTGCAGTGCCATAGTAGCAACTGCAGTGCTCAACTATATATATTCAAGAATGACAGGGATCCCAAAACCATGCGACGTGTTCTGGCTACACTTTTTGGTTCTGATCTGTGGCCCCAGTTTTCCTGCAGTTGTTCTCTGATCTTGGAAGCCTTAGCAGTGAAGCGAGAAGTGAATTCTTCACCAATACAAAGACACTGTGTACAAAGCCATCTGTGCCTACCATGCTGACCATTTGTCGGTGACCTGCTGTCAGTGCATGTTGTTTTCATGTGCGAGAGTTGTTTTATACTTAATGTTTCTGCCCACTTGCCGCACGGTCCATGGGAAATGCAACATAGCAAAGAAGTGCTTCGAAAGAATTTAGGATTGAGCTGGCTCAGTTGAATTATTTCTGTTGACAAATGCTTTTGCTGCAAGCACTTGTTCACTGACTGATGAAAATAAAGACGTTTTCATGTGTAGCTTGAGTATGCTTTCCTGAAGATTTTTGCGTTGTCTTCATGCACGTAATGGTTTGCATTGTCAAGAACTCGTTGCCGCCTGATAAAGTAGGAAGCTTTTATATCCGTGTTTACTGGTTTTGCATACAAAAGTCGCTAGGGTTAGTCATTAGTGTTACGTCATGCTGAGCGTCAAACGAAACCCGAACAGCGGCAAGCTTTCGCGATACCACAGTGCGCGGCGTCCAGTTATCACAATTGGCAGGCGTGCGCATTGTTTGGCAGCTCTGCACATATGAGTGCCTGTCCGAGGTGATAAGTGGAGGGCACGCACTATAGCATCTCGATGGCTTGCTGGTGTCGCGGTTTCATTTGACATTGATATTACAGGAATGCTTGATGTGAAGCTTGCATTTCCCCTGCTTTCACACTGCAATATCATACAAAAGTTTGCCGTGTGAAGCCTCCACACGCGCACGCACACACGCTCGCACACGCGCACACACACGCACGCACACACACACACACGCACACACACACACGCGCCACAGCTTTGACGCAAAGGCGAAGCAATGAACGCGATAGCAACAAATTGGAAGGTCACACGCAGGATGGCAAGCAGATCGAAGCGTTCCCCGCGTTTCTCACGCACAAATAACGCACGAAACGTACTCACAGGTACAGATGAACGCGAATAACCACCGCAGTTGTTACTTCGCTGTGTCTGAAAAGTGCGCTGTTTTCACAAACGAAGATTGTGCAACGATTACAGTGACCTTTGTGCGCCCGGTACCTACAACAGAGTCGTTCCGTTCCGGTGAAAGTTTAAGGCCAGCCGAGAAGTACGATCCTCACCACCGCGAGATAAGGGCGCGGGAGTGAGCGTCGAGGGGCTTTACGCCTACCCCCACACTCTGCGGGCACACTACGCGTGGGAGATGAGAGCACGCGCCGCCGCGTGCTCATTGCGCCATCTTGCTGGTAATGCTGAAAACACGGTAGTCCCCCCCTCCAAGATGCCCATCCCCAGCGGTAAGTCATAAATATAAATAGCTTGCCGTTTGATCCTTAAGGGACGGGCTGCTCCGTGGCTTAGTGGTTAACGCGTCACAGACACGTTTCAGAGGTCCTAAGTTTGATTCCGCGCGCCGGAGTATTTTTTTGAAACGTTTTCTTGCATATTCATATATATATGTACCTATGAATATACGGCGAGTGACGCCGACGACGACGCCGGTGGCAAAATTCAGCCAAGAGTGTCCATATAATTACTATCACATTAAAAATATCCGTGCTTCGTAGTTTATATCGACATTGTAGTTACCTCGCAGACCATGCCTATAAATAATGCTTATCATTGTATCACGACTGGGGTATTTTGACCCCCAAAATCGCTTTTGTCATGAGCAATAAGGTGTATGGCTTATGCAAAGACTCCTAACACAGATTTCCTGGTCGATTGTTCATTTCAGACTGTCACGTTTGCATCATGTGGGTCACCGCATTCTCTTTGTGTATGTTCACTTGCGTTTGTACGTGTACGCGCACGGATACACATACGATAAAGAGTTGTTCATTGTGTGGAACTTCTGCACCAACTGCACTGTTATTTCCAACGCGTATAAATGAGTTTAAGTACACCTCTATTTGGCTACAAGTATGGCTTTTACATTGTGCGTTATCACTACCATTGGCAATACTTTTATTGAGTTCTGGCTCCTTTTCAAATCTGCCTAACGGCAACCTTGCCTCTCGTTGAACTTTAACTCATGTTGAGCAGTTCTCACTGGTGTTCAATCAGTCATGTCACCTGAAGTCGGCGGCTTCATATATAAAAACACTATTCAGCCGTGTGTGTACGCCGGACGCTGATTTTGCCCGTTATCGCTGCATCATATGTATTGTGTTGCGAATATGAAACGTCACTACGTTACGTCATACTACATTACGTATTACGTTACGTAATGATCCCCAATATAATTGGCAGTGTAATTCTTGAAATTTTAAATAATTAATAATTAAGGTAAGACTAATGCCTCAACAGGGCCCTTGCTTAACCTCAAAGGCTTCGAGACATGTGCCTCTTAAAACTACCGCAGCAGCAGCCTCTCCTGAGAGGCTGAGCTACGGCACTGTTGGGGCATTGTTTGAGATTCGTTTAAAAAGCCTAAAATCGAGCTTGTATGAATTAAGGGGTCTGAGCCGAGAAATAGCCCTGGGTGTTGTGGTATATTCTGTTTATACGCCAGGGAAAAGTACTTTCTTCTTTGTGTGTCAAGTCTCCAGCATTCCAATAATGTGTTAAGGACTGTTAGTGTCTCGCCACACTTACCACAGATAGGAGGATCATTGCCAAGGAGCTGGAGAGTGTGCGCATCGTATGTATAACCTATTCTTAGTCGGCAGAGCGTGACCGCAGCGCGTCGCACTTTACTCCAAGGAGGTCATTTTCTTATCTGTGGTTTGATTAAGTGAAGTTAGTTCGAAGCCTTAGTATCCCACAGTCGGTGCCAGTAGTTCTCACCTTTCTACGTACAAATGTTTTAAGATCTAAGGCAGGAAGACCTATAGAAAGGTTTCTAGATTCCGTTCCTATGGCAGTAGCCATTCTGTTGGCAAGCACATTGCCTTCAATGCCCCTATGGCCAGGAACCAAACATATTAATACATGTTGTTCTGCTAGAACAACATATATATTCCCCTCACCCCTTTCCCCAGCACAGCGTAGCCAGCCGGTCTAAGAACTGGCTAACCTCCCTGTCTTCTACATGCACTTACTGCAGCTGCGAAGAAACCATCGCGCACATTCTGTGTGAGTTCACCCATTTCAACGCGCAAAGACGAACTCACTGAAGCTCTGGATAGACTGGACGATCGGCCTTTGTCGGAACAAAGGATTCTGGTTCAGTGGCCGAGCCCATCCTCAGCCCAGAAGGCTTTGAATTTTGCGGACAACTGGCCTCAGAGACAGACCTAAGTGTCTTATACTCTTTGATGTCTTTCCTCTGTCGCAATTTTTTGTAATTTCTCTCTCTCTTCACAACATTTCTTTTTAACATCTTTGATTCCCCTCACCCCTTTCTCCAGCACAGGGTAACCAGCGGGTCTAAGAACTGGCTAATCTCCCTGTCTTTCCGCTTAAACTTTCTTCCTTCTTCTTCTGCTAGATATATACGCTTTGCACAGAGCTGAAACGAGTTGGACAAGAATTGAATTTTTTTCTGTCTTTAGTGATTTCAAAGCTTTGACAGCACTAAGCGAGTCTGTATAGATAACCGTCTTTTGGAGCTTCATACTATAAATATACCTAACAGCAGGAAGGAGTGCATATGCCGCAGCTGTAAAAATACTCGTCTGCGGGTGCAACCTCTCGCATTCCGAAAACGATGGACCCACAGTGGCATAGGACACGCCCGCGTTGGATTTTGATGCGTCTGTGAAAAATTCAGGGCAGGAGTACTTAGACTTTAGTCCTCGGTAGTGCATTTGTATGTGTATTTCTGGGGCGTGCTTTGTTGCCTCCACAAAAGACCTGTCACACTCAGATACCTGCCACTGCCATGGTGGCAACAGGCTCGCAGGGGGCAGTAAAACATGCTGAAGGGGGACATTCATTTCTTCACTTCGGTTTCTCACCCGTAATGAGAACTGTTGTCCCACTGCAGGTCGGTGTGCATACAGCGTGGCTTAGCTCACATCATTTAGAGTGGTTCAAGTGGGATGCTGTGGATCGGACAGTATTTTAAGAAAGTACGTAAAGCTTAATTATGACTTTTGCGAGTGGAGCGACCATTCGTCACATTCCACATAAAGGCTCTTTACTGGACTTCTCCTGAATTCTCCAGTAGCCAGCCAGATACCAAGATTATGAACTGGATCGGGCATTTTCAAAGCACTTGGAGCGGCAGAATGGTAAGTCACATAGCCATAGTCTAAGCATGTGCGTATTAGACTTTTGTAAAGTTTTATGAGACATTCTCTATCACTGACCCATGCCGCGTGTGACAGTATTTTAAGAATATTCATGCTTTTAAGACATTTGTTTTTCAGGTATTTTATTTGGGATATAAAAGTCAGCTTAAAGTCTAAGATCACACCTAAAAACTTTTTTTCCTTGTTCAAGGGAATGTAGTGCCCTTGTATATGAACATGAAGGCGACGAAATAGGCCTCTCTTTTTTTTTAGAAAAGGACGCAGGAGCTTTTCTGAGGGTTTAAAGCCTATTCTCATTGACCCAAGTTGACAGCTTATTGAGACCTAACTGTATCTGCCGCTCACATGCTGCAATGTTACAGGATCTAAAGCCTATCAAAACATCATCAACGTAGACTGAATAAAACATGTTTTTTGGAATGAATGACCATAGAGAGGTCATTTTTACTATGAAAAGGGTACAGCTTAGTACTCCGCCCTGCGGTACACCAGTCTCTTGGTTAAATGGTTTAGACAGAGCATTGCATATTCTGACGTGGAAGGTGCGATCACATAGGTAGCTTTTTGTAACGCTTAACGTGTTGCTTCGAATACCAAATTCTGAGATGTCTCGCAAGCTTCCAAATCGCCAAGTAGTGTCATATGCCTTCTCCATATCAAGAAACACGCAGAGAAAAAATTGCTTGTGGATGAAGGCATCCCGAATGTAGGCCTCAATACGCACGAGATGGTCTGTTGTGGAGCGGCCCTGTCTGAAACAGTACTGATGCATACCAAGTAGCCCATTAGTTTCGAGAAAGTACAAGAGCCGGTGGTTTATCATCGTTTCGAATAGCTTACAAAGACAGCTTGTCAGGGCTATGGGCCGGTAACTTGCTGCACAAGATGGTTCTTTGCCCTGTTTCAGGACGGGGATTACAATATAGCCTCTTTCCATGCTAAAGGAATACACCGGCGGTCCAGATCTTGTTGTAGAGACTCAAAAGCACCATTTGCCCATTGGGATGTAGATGTTTTATTATTGTGTACATGATTTTATCGGCTCCCGGAGAAGAGTTGTGACAAGCGTTCAAAGACGCCATAAACTC